ATTTTCGTGAACTATTATTACTTAAGTATGTAAAAATTTATTACATTTCATGTTGTACGAGGGTTTTACCCAATTCTCGAACCGTGTCAGAGTGAATCCGTACTATAAAAGTACCGTGTTATACGGGGGATGGTACCAATTCTCGAACCGTGTTAGAGCGAATCCGTGCTATAGAAGTGCCGTGTTATACGGGGGTTACCTGTATATTTTATTATTATTATTATTATTATTAATTGTGTGAAGAAATAATCATTGTTTTTTATTTTGGTTGCTATATTTCAATATAACTGGATTAAGTATATCAAACATTGCGAAGCCTGATATGCAAATAGAAACATAACCAAACAATTGCCTTAAATAATCAAGCTATACTCTGCTAATTTAATGATTAATACTAAGTAATTTGCTACTAGAGGTAGACATTAGGTACCATCTCTTGACTAAATTAATAATTATAATTTTAATAATTTAATAAATAATTTTAGAATCATCTCGAAGAAAAGAACTGATCTGGGATGGGGCTTGAACCTGTAACCTCTGCTTGCCAGTTGCACCACCCAAGCCTTTGCTTACTTAGTATTAATCATTATATTAGTGGAGTTATAGCCCGATTATTTAAGGAAATCATTTAGTTATGTTTCTAGGACTGGATTAATTTAAAATTTTATTTTTTAAATGCAAAATTTAATTTTGCATTTAAAAACATTTTACTGAGATGGGGTCTGTGTTCTTCACTTGACTGACAAAGGGGTCTGTGGAACAAAAAAGGTTAAGAACTACTGGTTTGAAGAAATCATAGTTTAAGTAAAGAAGAAATGTTTCAGGCCTTTATTAAGACCAATTTTGGCTCATAGTATCATTTGAAATGAAGGCAGGATAATGACAATGTTCCTGCATTCCAGTAAATGCTTCAAGAACAATGCATATCCTGCATTCATTTCAAGTAATATCACAAATTGAAAGTGGTCCAAAACGTTTCTCTCCTTTATTTGGTTTCAACATAGTAACCATAGATGGTTATATCTAAAATTAAATGTGTCTGGAAGCAAAGGATTAAATGGAGGTCTGAGTAGCATAACTAGAAAAGTAAGTGGGAGTTGTGGTTCGAGTCCTTCTCCGAGCCAATTCTTTTCTTCTGGAATATTCTAAATTATTTAGTAAAATATTAATTTAATTATAGTTATTATATTTAATAGAAGATGGTACCTAATGCCTTTCTCTACTATCAAACTGCTTAGAATTTAGTTATTAATAGTAGCAGTAAAGTAGCCTGATTCATTACAGCACTTCATTTGGCTTTTTATTAAAAACATTGGGCTTTGTGATATATGTTTTCATTATTATTAAATGCATTCATTTTTCTTCTAAAATTTTAAATGAATGAAAATTATGTAATTTTATTGCTCATATTACAATTTGACATAAAAATCTGACACTTGGTGTTTTAACTTGATCTTGCATCACAACAGTGTTATATGAATCTTTACTATAAAAAGTTTTCCCCTATCGACAAAGTGAACATTTAATAAGTGATACATACTAAATATGACAATAACACAGCTATCAGAAAATATTTATTAAACAGAAAAGAATGAAAATTTTTAGTGTCTGATAACACAAAACTTCTAATATGATGCAGTAAGAAAATTTCTTCAAATTACTTTATAAAAGTATTTTCATAATTTTGAAAGTACAATATAATTCATGTAGAGCATATATTCATTGCCATTTTCATTAGTTTATCATCATCAAATATACTGATTCATAAAAACAAGACACTTAAATTATTACTAAAATTTACAATTTATGAGAGTTTTATCACTAGTATTTAAGAGAATGATTATATCAAAAGAAGGTGCAAAGTTATAGAATATACATCTTAAATATTCTTATAAAAATATTCTCAAAATATCTATTTTAAGTATTTCTTTAATGAGAAAAGCCTTTGAATATGAGCTAAAAGCTCAAAAATCATTGAAAGTATAACCTCAAATTATAAATACTAGCCTACAAGAGTCCTTAAAACTGACGACAGTTTGTGTCCAGGACACGAAGATACGAGCGTCCACAGAAAATTTTCCAGAAGGGAGCTAGAAGACATATAATTCCATAAATGAGAGAAAAAAAGACAGACAAAACATCCCACGGCCGAGAATGTAAGGTTGCACATCTCTATCACTTTTACAATTATAATTTATGAAATTTTCTACCGGATCCAGGAGGCACACACCTCGTCTCTCCCCACGAATGCCTACAACAAAGTAAGTAAAATCATTTACTTTGTTTGGAGATGCAACGATCATAATCGAGCAAAGATAATTCGGTCGATAGCAATACAGAACCGTTAACGAGCGACGTACACACGGGAACGGGAAGCCGATATCAGAAAACTATATTTTCTTAAATTCAGATTTACCCATTTTCAGTTATTCAAAAACACATTAATGCCAAAACGAAAACCTTCGTATCGAAACAGACGCGTTTATTCTCCGCACGGGCACAGCTAGCAAAAAGGAATAAACGAAATACGCCGCTAAACGCGACGTCGAAGCACCAAACACGTTCCAAAACGGTGCCACCATGGAGGGCATCTTGGCAGAAAGATATTCAACGGCTCCGGAACCGTCGAGTCTGTCAAACGCAGCAGTTATTTGTAGGCTTTGGTGTTTTATTTGGAAAAAGGATTGCAAGGAAGGAAATATGTTGTGTATTTTGATAATGTTTTGTGCATTAAAATGGCTTTGAATGTATCAAACTTATTCATTTGTTCTCGGCCGAGTAAAGTTATGAGCAAAGTCTCCTGGAATTCACAGTAATTAAATATTTACATTATATGACAATTAGGTCTTTATTATCCACCAGCCACGCTTCTATAATAGCTACTGTTCTTTTTCAACGCTACAAAACAGTCAAATCATTAGAAACGTATAGAAAAATTAGAATTATAACAATTTTAGACGGTATTAACGGGCAAAAAACGTTAGAAAATGGAAGAATAAAGAAGAAATATTTGCAGTTTAATTGAAAAAATCCTCACCGGCTGGCTGATCAATTACCAGATGTTTGCCACTTCCCTTTCTGCCCCCTTTCGGCATAATGTCGCGACTTAAGTTTTCCGTTCACTTCCTCTCGTTTCGTGCCCATTTTATTGGAAATGCGTTAAAAAATATAAATAAAAAAATAAAAACCACGTCAAACTTTAAACCTCCCGAATCGGCCGCCATTACTACGGCTCTGCCCATGCGCACCAGAGCCGGAATGACATCATACCCTCTCGTCAATAATTCCTAACGTGGTAAACCGTAATAAATTTCTTACCAGACGATAACTTTTCTGTTTATATTTAAGCGAATTTATTTTTAGTATTAATAATTATTAACGGCGATTATTTTTACGCGGGTGGGAACGAGTAACGAGGATGGTCGGGTCGGCGCCGCAATGCACGACGGGACGAGGTGGCAGTCAGAAGAAATCAAGATGGTCGACGACGTTTGACGATTCGGTCGTGTCGGTGGAGAAGGGGACGGGTTCGATTACCATTACGAAATTAGGAGGTTAGGGCTGTAAGAAGAACCTGTTATGAATTAAAAATTCGCTTAAAGGTTAAAGAGATAAGCGTAATCGGCGATAAATCGTCAGCCGATTGGTTATTTCATACCCCCCCTTTGAGAAACTGATCGTTTGTAAGTTCCTAAAAGAGTTGATCGGCGAGGGAAGAATCGAATGTGTTTGCTGTTGGTGTAAAGCTCAAGCGGAGTGAAGATGTGGAATATGATGTGCGACGTGATGCCGACCATATCCGAGGACAGCATTAGTCAAAGGAGCGGACAATTCTCGGGAGACGAGGCCAATTTCGAGCAGTTGATGGTCAATATGCTGGACGAGAGAGATAAGTTGATGGAGACTCTCAGGGAGACTCAGGAAACTTTATCCGAGACTCAGACTAAGCTCAGCGACGTCGAGAAGGAGAGAGATTCGCTCCAGAGACAATTGCAGGCCAATCTCCCACAGGTAAATACATTCTTTAACTCCTATACCTTCCTTACCTGTAATTTACATGCCTTTTTTTCGTTTAAATGCGCTTTTGTAGCTCCTACCTGGCGTTACGTTGTGTGATTAATCATTACATATTGGCTAGTGTGTTAAACTTTTATCCTTTGCAATTTCAGTACGTCTAGTTCGGCCGTCCGTCCTCTGCGGAAACTGGAACCGGAACGGCCGACCACGAGAAGAAACCGCACGTCGAATTCCCACCACGTTCGGTTGGAAAAAAAAACGGCATTTTGGGTCCCGTATGCTGCGTTTTGCAGGTTAATGTTCGACTTTTAGAACGATTGGCGTTCTACCTTTTACCAGTTTTAATGTAGAGGACGCCGATGGTTCTAAAAGTCTGACGTCGGTTCGTATTGTTGCCGGACCAAACGTGAGTTCTTTGAGGTCAAAAACCATGTCTTTTTTTCCAGTTAAATATTGTGGGAATTTAATGTGTGGTTTCTTCTTGTGACTTGATATTGCTTATTTGACCGTGTGCGTATTCGTAATTCCAAACTGGAAAACCAACAGAAAAGAAAAATTTAATACGTAAACGAACGTTTTTGATTGCATTTAATGGTCGTCTTTGGGTTATAGAATGGAGCGTCGAACGTAGAATACATTTGTGTATTATATTCTATGTTCGGTCTTCTTTTCTTCGACCCGAAGATGACCGTTTAATATGGTTGAAAATGTTTGTTTATATATTAAATTTTCCTCTTTTGCTGGATTTCTGGATTTTTGTAGTTTTATATGTAGTATTCACATCCGGTTTCTGCTATATATATCAATATGTATTAGTGCAAAATATTTGTTAAAAAATTAAAATTTTTGTGGTGTAATCGAGCTATTGCTTTAAATTTATAATCATGGTGGCATTTAGCGGGGCATTTGCAATACGTGTAATTTATAACAAGCTTAATTGCCTTAATTATAATTAAATTTGTTTCGTCGATTTTACTTAATTAAATACGGATAAGTTTTCGATTGTTTTTCAATGTTACATGACTGTAATATGAAATAATGTAATATAGATGTGTAATATATTCAAAATTCTGATGACACAATAGACCGAACTCTAAAGAATTGCTTGCGCATTATCTCTAAGATGCTTTAGCTCTCTCTGTTTTATCATTTAACTACTGATTGTTTGAATTCTTTTCCGGATTTTGTGTTATTTTTGACCAAATGGGGGTTAAAATGACCACCTTCTGTAAAAAATGGACTGTTTAAAGATGATAAATTTAATTTTTACTAAATTAGTGAAATCAACAAAAGTGATTAATCAAAATTAGTGAAATTTATTTTACTATATTAAAATATTTGCTATAGTCATCATTGAGGAAATATTATGTAATCATATACTGCAGTAAAATCTTTAAAATAAACAATTTTCTCTCAAATAACAGTCATTTTTTTATGTTATTTTTCCCAATATTTACGTAAACGGTAACAAAATCTATTCATTTAAATAAATATTTTCCTAACCGAGGTATGTTAACTTTCTAGCGCGTTTTTTGCGTGAAATTATACAAATTTTGTTAAATAATTTTTCTTTGCATCGGTAATTACATCGGATGACCATAAGTAAAATATTTACATCAATTTTTAATTATACATATATTTAAAATGTAATAACCCAGGCCCTAGCTCTGTAAATGCGATCCGACTCGTATCGTTTCGTAATTTTAGCTCTTTATGAAAGAATTGTCAATAGTTTAAAGATAAATGTGAAATTCCTTCCTTCCCGATTGGCGAGATAAGAATAGAAAAATAAAAATTTCATTGACTTGTCTAAGATAATATACAATCTTTTGTGTAATTTTATAATTTGTAGTTTATTTATTTAAATATAGATATATATTTTTGATGTAGATATAAGATATTTTAAAAGTAAAGCTTAGTACAATTACAATGTATGCGCGCACGTAAAAATAACAGTTCAAAATCGCAAGATGGATAACTAACTTAAATGCAATTTTATAATAAAATATTTGAGATTTGAATTCAGATTTGACAAATTTTCGTCGTACTGCGCGAGTCGTTGTTAAGTGGAGTAAAAATTTGATCTTTGTTAGATTAACGAACTTTGGTTTTTTGGGAAAGGATCCAAAACTTCAGTTTTATTCTATTTTTTTCATTTCCTTTTAATGTTTTGAAAGAAAAACAGCGAGCGGATGTCGAAATAAAAGTTTTTTGCTTAATATAATTTATTTGTTTATACTTAATTCTTGTTTTTGTGTAGACAGATTCAAAAATGATACCAAAAACTTATCAAAGGTTTTTAAACATTTTATTTACTAATGTAATAATGTAAATAAATAAAATAGTTTTAGTATCAGATAAATATCAAGAAAAGCTTCAATTTATTTATCATTTATTTAATTTTTGTATAGAATTGTTATAGTAACTCTTACTGTAAGATCCTAACTTTTCCAAGATGTTGATAATTTGGTTACATAACTTCCAATTGACACAGTGTTGCAAATGTATCTAACAAAAGAATTAAATTTCCCAGAATTCAAACAATGTTATTACTCAGCTTTGTTAAGTGATAAAGTAAATGTCTGGTTGGCTAGTCAATAGATTTTCCTGTTTCTTTTTACTATAAAATGGTAACATATACCTCTGCAAATGTAGTTTATACATAAAAGGCCCTTTTCTCAACTAGTGATTATAGCCAGTTGAGGAGGATCAATCAAGCCATAAACAAAACCATGTTATTGTGACATGCGTTGATCCTCCACAACTGGTTATAATCACTAGTTGAGAAAAGGGCCTTTGCTGTACGAACAACTTCATTTTTTGTTTCTGTTAAAAGGTATGTTTAAAACGTTCGTATGATTTTATGTAGCATGATGTATAGACATGGGCATCCACGGAGGGGAACTTACCCCTCCCCGCAATCGAGTAAAAAATTCGACAAGTACTAATCATACAAGTGATTGAGATAAGTAATCTTATGCCTTCAACTGCTCTCTTTTGGGACTATTCTGGTAACTGTTTTAACATAGTTATGCCAGGTTTTTCTGACACTGTTTAGTCATTAAGCCATTCATGATATTACTAGATCATGTTGAGTATCAAGATATTGGTATAATAATTATTAAGAAATAATAAACTATAAATTTAATCATGCATTAAAAAATATTTTTGTTTATTAAATATACTAAAAAATTAAATTTTGAGCTAGGATTAATGCTATAAAAAATATATTGTATAAATTGATTTGTTAGTGAAACATTTAAGTTCTACAACATATATACAAGCCATGACCATATATTGGATCTATATTATAAAAGAAAATGGTAATAAATAAGCAGATTTTTAGCAAAGGCCAAATTTAATTGCACCTGTTCGTATCCAGTTGCATTGGTAATGTGATGATTGCGGACAGCTACGACAAGTGTTTGTGAAAACTTTGACGAAGTTGCTGTATAATATAACAAGCAAAATTGTTATAACCACAATTGATTGTTGAACAATTAATTTATGGTTTTGAATTTGAACAAGCAAGTTTTAAAAGATGTTTACTATGGAATTTTAAGAAATGACACCTTAATTAAGCCTTCTCTATGATATCTTTTACTCCTGTCTTATGTAAGGACATGGGCATGACACATTGGAAAAATGGAGAATAACAGAGGGACAAGGAGAATAATAGAATGCCAAGAGAATGGAAGAGGATCAGGAAGATGGCAGGATAACTGATAGAATTAAGAATGATTATTTAAAATAACTAAAAATTGAAATTAATATAGAATATTAGTCTGATTTTTATGTGCCAAGGTTGTAACAGTAAAAGAGTGTGAAAATGGACGTGTATTTATTTTTTCAGTCAAATGAGATGCAAAATGCAAGTTTGAAGTTGTATATTGTAGATGATAATTACAATGACTTTTTGTAAAATTTTTATTTACACAAAAATAATCTTATCACTTTAACATTTTCTGACCACTATAATCTAGCAAATAAAATTAAATCTTTGATTTTTGTTTATTCAGAAGTGTGGCCAACTGAATTTACAGCACGTATTATAATCTCGAGTGTATTTCTTTGCCATCTCTAAGAAAATATAACTCGACGATCGGCTTGTTAAATTGGTAAAATTCAATGTGTTGTTGCAAATTGATTGATAAACTTTATATTTTTATACAGGATAAATATCGTTAATTTTAATTTTAAGTGGAAAATTTGTCAAAAACCTTGCAGTTTTTAAAATTTTCTATTATTTCACCTGCTCTTAGCAATATTTTAGTCATTTTTCTCATAAAAACCAAACAAAATGTGCTGAGATTTATCTAAAATATGATTTTTCACAAAAGCTTCAAAGGTGTTAAAACTCTGTTTGGGTTTATAATGGTCGGCATTGTTAATTAACGTGAAATATTGCAGATTGTGATTCTGCAGACGTTTGTAGAGTAGGAGGAAGATTTAAATATTTATTTCTCAAATATTTTAATTTTCCTGCACAAGAATTAAGATAAGAGCAAAGTTCATTGAACTTTTTTTATTTTTGGACATTTGAACTTTCTTCTGTCATTTTTTAATCGAATTTTTCCTTATTTAAGTTTTTAAGTTTACTTTATAATAATACATACAAAAACAGTTTTATTCTTAGGATGATAACATATATTTTTTAAGTTTTCTTTCTTTTTATAGAGTGTTTTGTCAATTATTTTCCTTAAATTTAGGCTTATTTATGTTTACTTCTACAATGTTATAAAATATCCGAGCCATGTTTAATATTGGCGCAAACTGAGAATGCTTGGTGGTGATAGCGAAGATATTTTTAATGTTTAAAATATATTACGACTTTACTATATCTAAAAACAATTAAAGAATGGGTCAGTGACCTTAACTGTGATCTTAATTTTATTGTAAGAAGGATTGAATTGTAGGAGTAATGAATAATTTATTATTTTTATTAGAATTATTAAAAATGACGATAAATAAACGGGCAAAATCCTACTATTTAT